TTATTCGAAAGTCGCGTATCGCAACAGGACCGGTCCTTTGCACTTCTGTCTGAGTACTGACTACGTATTATCATCTCTGCTATCACCTCGGGAAAGAGAGTCACTGAACCGGAGAAAATAGAGAGCTCACACAGAATGCAATTGGCTGGTCCTAGGGTTGTTCATTTTCTCAGTCTAACATTTATATTCCTGGGATAAATCGGCGGTATTGACCGATTTTCTGTGAAACTACAATATTATTTTCTTCTTGGGTCCCGTTCAAATATTACGAATAACGACTTTGACATTCACTTTTTTTGCTGGAAATTATTGTTAAACAAACTACAATTCAAGAGCAAATTTTTATTATGTCGTAAGTAACATTCGCACCAATCCGAGAAAAATAAAGTTTTGTTTTGATGACCGAAAAGTTATTCCTATTTCCAAGTAAACACATATAATCTCATAGTGATAGCAATGTTTAACATATTTAGCAGGGTTTTAATCATACAAATGCAAATCGCTAGCTTTCATGCTAAAAAATACTGGTTTTTGAGTCAAAAGTTATTATACGTCGTTTGGTGGCCCCTATTGTTACTTAAGTCAAAGTGTATTTACCAGGATATTCGGGAGAATTATCAATTACGTCTCCTTACGTGCAGCCCATTCATCATTTTAGGACTACCGAAATCATCTTAGCAACAAACAGTTCGATTTATTCACTTTAATAATGAGAAAGCGAAACGACGAACGTACACTTTTCACGGGTTCTCAGCGCTGTTACTTAAGTCAAACGGCATCTCCATAGAAATTGGGTGACTTAAGTAACATCGAAAACTATTTTGATCGGAAGGTGATTACGTCAAAAAGCAATTTGACTGGTAAATAAATTTAAAAATGGGATTTGATCCTATATTCGGACAGTATATAGTGTAATAGCAGGAGAATCGATTGACACTGATAGCTCGACTTTGTTTACCTTTGTTACATTCGACGTAATGAAAATTTGCTCTTGAATTAATAGATTAATTCCGTTAATTTTGTCGTAGGACAACGTCTTTGTGGACTATACTGGAGTGCAAATAAAAATAAATGGTGTGACGTAATAGTGTTAGCACAGACAAACAGACATAACACTCGCAAGTTGTTCATCGAACAAGAATTTAACGGTCAATTTTAAAGTATCGTAGTTGGTAGTATCGCCACCTGTGGCGCGTATAGTAATTTCCCTTGAGTTTGACGTTTACACACTACCGCCATCTGTTCAGCGTACTACCCACCACAGTGTACTCAACAGATGGCGGTAATGTTTTAGCGACGATGTTTTACAGTGAGAAATATTCAATGTGTTATGTCTGTTTGTCTGTGGTGTTAGATTTTGAATGCTTACAACATGGCCATTTATGAATGAAATTCAATTTTAATTACACGTTTATTCAGCTTGAATAAAATATTTGTTTGGTATAAAGATGATAGTTGTTTATCAATGGATAAATAATGATAATTCATAAAAGTTTTTAGCCGTAATTCACCAATCACGTGCTCGCTTGCAATGACTATCGATAGAACAGAGAGACGAGCCGGTACCACTCAATAATCAATGCAATTTGCTTCTTTGCTTTTTTTCTATTCATTGACCTACATCAGCAAAGTAGAGAAAAAAGGTGAGGTTAGGAATGCTAATCTAGATGATTAAGTAAGGGAAACGTAGAAAATTTGACTGCAGTCATCGTTTGACTACCAAGAGTAATCTACGCTTCTCCATACGAATGAGTTAAAGTGACTTACTCGTTTTCTGTGTAGTTTGCCATCTAAGCTAGAAAAAAGTGATTCAGAGTGCATAAGGATCGATAGGAATCATCGATTGGATGATCAAAATCAGTGTTGCAAAAAAATTTATGCTTTAACCTTACAGCACGACCATGATTGGTCTCTGAGTTCAGAATACACTCACCATCAGAGCTTGAAATCATTGACTGCTTAGGCTGAGAGTGAAAGCACTGCACTATTCAATCCATTGCTCTGTGCAGACCGTTTGTACCAAACGGTAAAGGACGAGACAATGAAAGAGCCAACAAAAACATTCAGTCACTCACGAGCAGGCGACGCACACCGCTTGCCTTCGCTCACACAGCATGTAATTGAGTCATTTTTCCATAGAAAATGTACGCTCAGTCATTCAAAACAAATATTGGGTACCATCCCGGCAGAATAAACGTGTTGACTGAGCTACTGACTGAGTGCTCGGCTGTCAGTGACTCGTTTAACTCTGAATCATTCAGACTCTCACGAGGCAGTGAATGATGAGGCAGATGGCAGTTCATATTCATATCAAAATGACTTAATGAACCTGACTATTTTGCGCACTGCTCACCATGGAGCGTTAGTGTTATTTGATTCAAAAGGCTTGCTTAATCAGTCTACATTCACTAAACACAAACGGGGGCGACCTCGGCGTAGGGGTTAGCATTCATACCTCTTACGCCAAAGTCACGAGTTCAAATCTCACCCCAAACAAGTCACGAATGACCCAAGAGCGTTAAAGTGACTTTAATATAAAAAAGACTAAGCACTAATCTTATTCAAATAGTGAGTCACTTTTACTCATTGGTATGGAGGAGAAATTTATAAAAGCGTAGGTTACTCATTCGCTGAGTGACAAACGATTTTAGAAAATTAACAACCAAATCAATCACTCAAGTATACCGTAGCTAGATCCCGTGCTCGAAAGCTGTATGACAACCTGCTGATCAAGTCCAGTGGGTGCAAGCTTATGGATGATGAAGTCTTTGTAAAGGTCGACTTCGGACAGCTTTCAGGACTAACATTTTACAAGGCGAAGTCCCTGGAAAATTTTAATTTGTTTTGGCGGATAAATTCACACACAAATGTATGATCTGGCAGGGAATTTGCAGCTGCGGCTAGAAGACAAAGGTTTTCGTCACTGAGAAAATGATGAACTAGGAGGTTTACAAAACCGAATGTCTCCAGAAACGGATTCTACCTTTCATATAGTAATATGATAGTCTGGTGACATTTTGGCCGGATCTTACGAGTTGTCACTACAGCCGGGAAGTACAACAATGGTACAATGACAACGGAGTCCAGTCTGTTCCAAAAAACCCCAATCCGCCCAATTATCCCCAGTTCACGCCCATTGAAAATTACTGGGCAATTATGAAGGTAAAAGGTAAAGTCATCAAAACGGCAGTTCTGATGAAAAATGGGGGGAGGGGTTAAATTAAATTGTCAACACAGTGGACGAGACCGTTGTGCGCCGCTTGATGGGTCGAATTAAGAGAAAAGTTCGAGAAGTCCTTTCAAACTGAGACGAATAATTCGTTTCGTATGTTTTTCTTAAAATATAAGGATATTATGCACTTGAGTGAAAACCGTTTTCAAATCCGTTAATTCAAATCCGAAATAGACCTAAATGATGTTGTTCGATTGCTAAGTGGGCCATGTTTTATGTATGGAGTATTCTATTGGGTGTTTAATATGCTTCCATGAAACAACCCAATTGACATTCCATTTATTCATTTGCAACGTTTGCTATTCTATAGATTTTTAACTGAGCACAGGTGACTATAAACGGAATTTAAGATAACTAAAATAAGTTTAAGTTGAAAGCCGTTTGTCTTTCATAGTTCTGCAACATAAAGATTTGTTACCCATTGGGTATTTTCTCTTGAAAATTTGGGTAGAAGTTGTTTAGAGTGTATTGTTTACACTGTATTTTTATCGCTGTCAGTTTTTCGAAAGTCGGAAAAAATGGCGTCACCCGAAAAGCAACGTCACGAATTGAACCCTCAACTCTCTCATCGGGACATCGGAAAACAACTCGGAATCGTGCAGTCAACGGTGAGTCGTGTGATTAAACGTTACTACGAAACTCTGAGCATCGAACGGAAGGATAAATGCGGTCCGATTGGATGTTCTATTAGTGATCAGGATCACAAGCGTGTCGTGAAAGCCTTTACGGGCCCGTAAGCAGTACATCCAGATGCTAACAAAGCCTCATTGTCTCATCATGGATGATGAGACTTACGTCAAGGTGGACTTTCGGCAGCTTCCGGGGTTATTGTTCTTCACCGCCCAGCACAAGTTTGATGTTCCGGAGGAAGTAAGGCAGCAGAAACTTTCAAAGTTTGCCAAGAAATACATGATTTGGCAAGTGATCTGCTCATGTGGCAAACGGAGTGCGCCTTTCGCGACTACCGGGACTGTAAACGGGGATATCTACTTCAAGGAGTGTCTACAGAAGCGTCTGCTTCCTCTGTTGAAAGCAGCACGAGGGCTCTACGATCTTTTTGCCGGATCTAGCTTCATTCCACTGACTGTTCAAATGGTGTTCTGGAGTGGTACGAAGCCAACGGGGTCACTTTCGTATCCAAGGACATTTACCCCCCAACGTACCGAAACTAAGGCCCATCGAAAAATACTAATACAAAATACATGCAGAAAAATGGGTCTCAGTACAGAAGAAGCTACAGCCAGATGTTGTACAGAACCTAATGAGTGGAGTGAAGCGTAAGGTGCGAGCATGCGGTTATGGTATTGAAGTTGAATGAAATAAACATGCCAAAATCTTACTAGGTAATTTTCTACAGCGTTTTTTGCGTGATGCAATTTTTTGTGGGACACCCTTGAATTACTAATTATCGCACCATGATTTCAGAACATAAATTCGCATTTTTGTTCTACTCTGAGTTGCCACAACTCTTGTGACGCAGAAATGCTGTTCTAAAACAATCCTAGAGTATCTTAATCTAAATATCCGAATACGATGCCATGCTTACAATCAATTACTCACCTAAGTCATCACTGCAATAAGTCCACACTTGTTCAGACTACCACTCCAGCACCCAAGGAGATTTTCTTTGCACACAGAAGTAGTCGATACAACTCGGAAATATTAGTATCACAAATATGTAATTTTTATTATCATTATTAAAATTCATAACTGGGTTACATACAATAATGACTTTTTACAATTTTGCTAATGTGTCTGCTTCTTTTTTTTTCTTTCAGTGTGAGTTAACTCTTCACGCTCTCCTTACAGCTTGCTATTTTTGAATGTACGAGTTTCGTTTTTAAAATAGTACCATCCCCATTATTCTTCGGTAATTTGTGGTTTCTTCTTCTTCTTCTTCTTCGCCATCGTTCTGCCTGTTTCATCTTCAAATATTAATAATTAAAATGAGTCGTATAGCACATTTCGACTAGGTTCACTTCTTTTCATTGTTTCTGTGTGTGTGTGTGTTTTTGTTTTGGTTTTAGATTTAATCGTTATAACTTCGTCCACCGAACTTTCCTTTGTCCTTTCACTAAATACTCGTCAATCGTTCGTTTTCGGTTATCACTCCGTTAGTATACAGTGCTAGTTTTTGTTTTCCGGTTCGTTCACATCACTCACTCACGGAATCCCACACATCCGTAAATCCCACTCATGCGGAAACTAAAAAGCTCTAACAGGTCAGGAAATTTCATGTGATCCCCCGAGTCCCGATCTCGAGGAGCTTCGGCTCGTTGTTGTTCAGCTGCGATTCCATCGCGTTGATGTTCGATTTGAGTCGCAGCATCTGCAGCTCGACGCGGGCATTCTCTCGCTTAAGCTCGCAAATCTCCTCGTCCAAAGTGAGAATGTCTTCGTTGCCGCCGGATCCAACATTGGTTTGCGACTGGGACTGTGCCGGAGTTCCTCCTACGGCAACCGGAACCGATCCCGGATCCGACGGGTGACTGTTCTTCGCGCGATGGTCATCCGAAGTGGTGCCACTGCCGAGGACACCCCCAAGAGACGGTCCCGTTGCGATGGCCGATCCTCCGCTAGTGCCAAGCAGGCCATTCTTTGTCGGATTATAGTTCGTTGCCAGGTCTGTCGAAGCAATAGAGATCCAGATCTTTAGGACACACCTACACAATGGGTCAATCTTCGATCAGCTTACCGTTGAATGATTTGGCTGCCGCCGAGGTCGAGTTCATGAGGACCTCGTCGCTGTAGCGTGGCTTCTTGTTCGCCTGCTGGCCGGCGGCAGCTTGAGCCGTCGGGCAACTGGCCGTCGTGCGATGGGTACTGAAGGTACCATCGATATGCCCGTTTCCATCGCAACCCGGTGTCTGACACTGGAACGGTTCGAACTTACCGGCTGCGGCTTGGGCCATCGCTGCCTTCGCTTGCTCGATGGTACCGCCACTCTCCAGGATATGCATCTTGTTGCGCAACGCTATCGGACAGCCGGACGCACTGTTGAAGAAACCGACAGACATTGGTAAGGTTTTGAGGGTAACTGGTTTAGCTTTTGATGACTACCTTCGGTGTGACAGGAACTTGCCCGTGGAGTGACCGGATCCATCGCAACCCGGAATAGGGCATCTGCTTGGTGGAGAGGAATCGAAAAGACAGAGAAAGGGAAAGAAAATACGGCACAAATGAATGGATAGGAATCTTCCTGGCAAAGTGGCAAGGTTTTACCTTAGAGGTTCGGATTCCTGGCCGTCGCGGGGTTTGCTCTTCGGTTTCGACGCCCGGGGGCACCCGGAGAGACTCCGGTGGGAGCTGTAGTTGCCGGTGGCATGACCGGATCCGTCGCATCCGGGGGTTGGACATTTCAGTTCTTGCGATTGCGATGGGAACTGCGGTCGTTCCAGGCGTTGGTATCCGGTAAGACTGCAGAATGGAAGGCTTGTTTAATTTTGTTATTATTTTGGTGGAATTTAGCTTTTTGACGGTTTGAAAAGTAAATCATACATATTTTTTAATCAATGTACGGAGTTTGGGTTTTCGGAGGTAGAAAGTTCTAAAGAAGCTTCCAGAAGAAAATTCTTAAGAAGAATTTTAGGGAAGCAAATTCTGAGTAGCTACGCAGTAAAACAGCATTTTTTCAAGGTCTGCGGTGTTCTAACGGAATTATCAATTCTATACTTTCATCTTCGCATCTATCTTATAAATTTTCTCTTTAGTCTGATATTGGCATTCATTAGGTAGGGTAAATGATGGCTTCGGCACCCATCGACTGTTTTAGGCAACCAACATTTAAACGATATGTTGCAGTATTTTCTGACCAAAAACGCATCGCTGAAGCTATTTACACGATTCCTTAGTCTTTCAGCTTCAATCTGATTAAATGTTTACGACTGAGGAAACGTGTTATGCCAGATTGGTTTATACGTACTACAAAATACGGCTGATTTCAAGTTGCCTAGATAACGCGCAGTTCATACGGAATGGTTGCCCAGGAAAAATAGACTGCCGACTCAGTGCCGACAATGGTCACACTCAACTGAGAATCGTTCGGACAACTCTCGCGTCACTTTTCAAATAGACCAATGTAACATATCCGTCATTTTGAGAAAATCAAAGTTGAAGTTCGACAGATTGTTATTTTAACTGTTTAGAAACAATACATTTTGCAATACTATTTTTAATGTAGTCAGTGAATAATAACGTTGAAAATTCAGTAGCAACGCTAAAATCACAGTTTTACTTTGAATTTCATGCTACAATATAGAAAAACCACATAGGACGTTTTGACTAGTCAATTTTTACATCCGACATGTTACATTGAATGATTTTTTTCAATGTCATAATCAATGAGTGGACGCTTTTTTCTACATGATACTAGATTCCCATTCACAGATTTCAGAGCAGAGTACTTAACTTTATATTGTCCCGCCTTTAGAAATTTAGTACCTATCATGTTAGGTAGTCCAAATGACCGAAATAACAATCATGCACCCATCATTTCAAACTGTACATTGGACAATTTTTGACCTTTGATTATCTTCAATAAATTAAAGTGAATTTGGATTGGTGTTTTTGCATCACATGCTGTTCGGTTCCGAACGTTTGAATTTGCGTTAATATGTCCATTTTGTCCCTATCTTCCCTTACATTCCAAACGAAAAGTTGAATCTTTTTGCCCATCTAGAACCCCTCGTCTTTCCCGTTGTCAGTGTCCAATCCATATTTTTGTTTGTGCCTCTTTCGACATTCCCATGTAAATAGGCGGAGCCTATTCTGTATAACCCTCACGCACGACAGAGAAAGTGTTAGTATGTAAGTGAACGTCAAAGGGCGCAGTTTTTTTATTAGTATTTTAGTCGTCTTACGATAAAAGTCAAGAAAATAAACATTGTTACACAGAGAAGCCGAATTTTTCATTTCTCCACTAAAGGGAGCATCATTCCGATCCTATCCACTGCGGAACTGAAGCATCTGATCGCTGCTGTTGCTGAACCTGTTGCCGAACAGTCCACCCGTCCCGTTGCTCATCGGAGCAGCACCCAAGGAAGCAATTAGTGTTGATTCCTTCGATTCGGTCCACAATTAGATCCCTCCCGTGGTAGTCTAATGTGGATACCGTTTTGACTGCACACGGATCACCTATTGCTTAACTGTAATCAAATACCCGCTGCTGGAGCACCAACTAGAGAATCCAACAATCTCTGGCCTGTTGGTTGTTATCCAGTGGCAATTTTTGATTATTCCCCGAAGGGAGTTCCATTCCGGAGATTTTTACGTTGTGCACCGCACATTGTTTGGTCCTTCGAGCCGGATTCAGCATCGGTGCTTTGCAGTTGCAGTTGGATAATTTAGTAGCTCTAGTGGAGAAACCATCCATCACCATCGTTCGCGTTCCGAAAGTACAGTTCGCGCGAGTGAAGTGAAAATATTGAAGCACGTCCGAACGAGTTTTAGAAAAGACAGTACAGTCGTGTGTGTGCCCAGTTGAGACGAAGAAAAGACAGTACAGTCGTGTGTGTGCCCAGTTGGGACGAAGAAAGAACAGTAGTGTAGTGAGTGTGCCCTATTGGGCTGAAGAAACAGTCGCAAGTTCCACGCATCTATGTCGCTGCTCCACACCCCCCAAAAAGGTGCTGCTAAGATGGCCGATGTGAAGACGCTCGTACATCTTCATGGCCAAGCGAAAGCCAAGGTGACCAGGATACGGAAAGCCATTGAAGAGACTTCGGAAGCTGGCGTTGTTCAATTTACCCTCGCCCAGCTAAAGGTGTATGCCAAGAATCTGGAGGCCCACTTCCAAGAGTACCTCAGTTTCCATCACCAAATCATTGCATTGCTGCCGCCGGAAAAGCTAGATCAGAACGATGATACGTACATTCAGTTTGAGACTCATCACATCGAAACCGCTACGATGGTGGAAGCCCTGATCCAGTCCGTTATACCGCAACCCACTCCTCCCACAGTAGTGCCCATGCCTGCGCCAGGTTTCCAGCAACAGCAAATTGTTGTACAGCAGCAACCGCTTCCGGTTCCTATCCCTTCGTTTGATGGGAAGCCGGAGAATTGGCCAAGGTTCCAGCAGGTGTTTTCGGATATCATGGCCAGATCCAGGGACTCCAATGCAGTCAAGCTACACCATCTTGAGAGGGCACTTGCGGGTGGATCTGCCGCCAAGATCATCGACCCAAAAACGCTCAGTGAAGGCAATTTCATCCATGCTTGGGAGCTGCTGCTTGACGTTTACGAGGTCGAACGAAAGGCAGTAGATTCGCATATCCATGGCTTGCTGAGCTTGAAACGTATGAGCAAGGAGTGCTCCAAGCAGATGAGGGAGCTCATAAACGAATTAACCCGCCACGTTGAAGGTTTAAGGCTGTTGGAGCAGAATTTGGAAGGCGTTTCCGAGCGTTTTGTTGTCGTCGTCCTATCCGATGCATTCGATCCCGAGACGCGGAAGCAGTGGGAGGCCACCATTCCCCATAAGCAGATTCCGAATTACGAAGACACCGTGACGTTTTTGAAGGAGCGATGTTCGTTGTTGGAGCGTTGTGAAGCCAGTCACCCAAGGTCGTCGTCAGCCAAGGAATGCAGTCAGAAGTCTATCCCGAAGCCCCCTACGATGAAATCGTTCGCTATGGCTACACCCGTAGCTAATAGTGATGCGAAATGTGAGATCTGCAGTGCGAGCCATCCCAACTTTAAGTGTGATAAGTTTATATCTCTGACGGTACCCCTACGCAGAGTCAAGGTAAGAGAGCTTAATCTCTGTTTTAACTGTTTGAGAAAGGGCCACCTTGCATCTAAATGCCCTTCGAGTAAATCCTGCCAGGAGTGTCAAAGCAGACACAATACGTTACTTCATGAGCCCAAAGTTTCAAAACCTGATCCAAGCCTCGTTCCAAGGTCCAACCCAGAATCCACCAAAGTTGTCGTTAATTCCCAAGTTCCTGCTCTGGTTGAAAGTGTATCGTCATTGTCCAATCCGGTTCATAAGGTTCCTCGATCGGATGGCACGCTTTTGCTTACGGCCATAATTGATGTCCTAGACAGTAATGGAAATCCCCACCCTTGCCGTGCATTCCTCGACTGTGGTTCCCAACCACATTTGGTGTCCCGTTCGTTTGTTGAATATTTGGAAATTGAACAGAAACCTACACATGTGGAAATTTTCGGAGCTACCGGTAAAAAATCGGTGCTGGACAAAAGGGTGACACTTTCGATCCGTTCTCGTTGCATGGAATTTCAGGCCCAAATAGAATGTTTGGTCACCGATGTGGTTACTGGTCCTCTCCCTGGTCGAAAACTAGATACCCGATCATGGAAAATTCCTTCAGGTTTATCCCTTGCCGATCCTACCTTCCATACACCCGGAGAAGTCGATTTGCTGATTGGTGTTAAACTGTTCTTCCACTTGATGTTACCCGGGCAGTTGATGTTGGGAAATCAGTTACCGATCCTAAGGGAAACCCGATTGGGTTGGGTTGTTGCTGGTGGTGCTGAGGGTGCAGATGAGACTCAGCATTGCTACACGGCTAGTTTGCGGCCCCTCACAGAATGCATGGAAAGGTTTTGGTCGATTGAGTCGATTGAGTCTAGTGATGCTGTGTCTAAGGAGGAGCAAGATTGTGAGCAGCTTTTCAGTTCCACTTCCGTTCGAAACCCTGATGGTACTTACACTGTCCACCTTCCGTTGAAGGAATCCGTAAGTGAGTTAGGTAATAACCGATCGTTGGCCCTAAAGCGTTTCCACATTCTGGAGCATCGATTCAGTAAGAATGCCGATTTGAAGGGTGCTTACGTTGATTTCATCAACGAGTATAAGTCGTTGTCCCATTGTAAGGAAGTTTCCGAGGTAGATGACGTCCCTGGGAAGTTGGTTCACTATTTACCTCACCATGCGGTTTTGAAACCAAGTAGTTCCACCACCCGTTTAAGAGTTGTCTTCGATGCCTCGGCTCGAACAACTGGTCCATCTCTCAATGATGTTTTGATGATTGGTCCGACGGTTCAGCCTGACATTTTTTCACTAAATCTGCGGTTCCGCAAACATCGTTTTGCATTAAAGGTTGATGTTTCAAAAATGTTTAGAAGAATCAAGGTTAATGAGGATCATTCTCCCCTTCAGAGAATTTATTGGAGGGAAAACCCTGATGACCCACTTCAGATACTAGAGTTGACAACCGTTACATATGGGACAGCCAGTGCTCCATTCTTGGCCACCCGAACATTGTTGCAGTTAGCCCGTGATGAATCCCACCATTTTCCAACAGCTTCCAAGGTTTTAGAAGAGGATGTTTATATGGATGACGTGGTATCAGGAGCTGACACCATTGAGCAGGCCATTGCTCTTCGTGTGGAGTTGACAAATTTGTTGAACTCTGGAGGTTTCCCAGTCCACAAGTGGTGTGCGAGTGATCCAGCCATTCTCGACACAGTTC